TGGATGCCATTCTCACCACGTTGGCTGGTACACCATGGACGCGAAGAAGAAGCGAGAAGCAACCTGGCCTCTCTCCGCAACCTTCCCGCCGACCACGAGCTTATCGAGTTGGAATTCTTGGAAATCAAGGCCCAGTCCATGTTCGAAAAGCGCAGTGTTGCTGAAGCTTTCCCGCATCTTCGCGAGCAGACTACTATGAACATCTTCAAGCTTCAGTTTGTTGCCATTGCTTCGCTTTTCAAGACAAAGGCTATGTTCAAGAGGGTTATCGTCGCGACTGTCACTATGTTCTTCCAGCAGTGGACTGGTATCAACGCCGTACGTACAATCCCGGGTCTCGTTGATGATCTACGTTCGGAACTCATGCTGACTTTCCACTTCCCAGGTCCTCTACTACGCGCCTCAAATCTTCGAACAAATCGGTCTCCAAGGAACCACGCAGTCCCTCCTCGCGACAGGCGTCGTCGGCATCGTCATGTTCCTCGCCACCATCCCCGCAGTACTCTACATCGACAAGCTTGGCCGCAAACCTGTGCTAGCAGTCGGAGCCCTTGGCATGGCCTTCTCCCACTTCGTCATCGCCGTCATTCTCGCGAAGAACTTCGATAACTTCGAGAACCACCGTGCGGCGGGATGGGCAGCCGTGGTTATGGTCTGGTTGTTTGTCATCCACTTTGGTTACTCGTGGGGTCCTTGCGCTTGGATTTTGATCGCCGGTAAGCTCTATCACTATTCGCTCGAAACGTTTATTATAGGTTTGATACTAACGCATATGACGTAGAAATCTGGCCCCTATCCACCCGCCCCTACGGCACAGCCCTCGGCGGCTCCTCCAACTGGATGAACAACTTCATCATCGGACAGATCACGCCCGAGCTGCTCGAAAACATTACTTGGGGCACATACGTCCTCTTCGGACTCGTAACTACCCTTGGAGCAGGATTCATCTGGTTCTTCGTTCCTGAAACGAAGCGCTTGACACTTGAGGAGATGGATACCATCTTTGGTAGTGAGGGTGCGGCGCTTAAGGATCAGGAGCGCATGGCAGAGATCAATCATGAGATTGGTCTTGCGGCGTACTTGCATGGTGATGCAAGCAGTGGGAATGAGACGAATGTTGTTGGGAATGAGAAGGGTATTGTGTGAGCGCAGCGACGCCTATGAAGGAAGGGTTTTGAGTAGGAGGTGAGATTAGGGGGTGGGATTAGCTTAGTGGAAAATTGATGGTTGTAATCATTTGACTTCTTTTGATGATGCTATGGAATGGGGGTACATGTGGTGTTTGCATTCGTTAGCTTCTCTATGGTTGGATAGATGTTGCTGCTAGTGGACTGAAGCTTGATCGAGTGTACACATAGGGACAATTGGTACATAACGAAGTGACAGGGCATGAACGGAGATGCTATAAAGTAAATCATGTTCTGAATGGCTCTTTTCTCTATCATTTGGAGCAAATCTACGCCTCATCAAGACCATCACCAAGACCATCAGAAGGACCGTCAGAAGAACCATCAGCAGAACCATCAGCAGAACCATCAGCAGAACCATCAGCAGAACCATCAGCAGAACCATCAGCAGAACCATAGTCAAGAGAATCGTCAGAAGAACCGGAAGAAGATTCGTCGGAGGATTCATCGGAACAATCGAAGTAGTGTATCTCACCATCGTGCTTGCACCACCATCGATCTTGGGCTGGCACAGAGTCGCCACTTTGCTCACCTGTGCTTTCCGCAGTCGTACTTGATAACTGCAACCCCATCTCTGGGATGATATCGCGCAACAATGGTCTTCGCCTCGTCGCTGTGATAGATCCCCAGCTGACCTCGATTTCTTCTTCTTCTTCTTCTTCTTCTTCTTCTGGCGCATGGATTCGTTCAGAAGATGGTTGCGCCCGTACTCTAGTATATATACGGCCCGTATATGTGTACTGAACATCTCGTATCTCAGTGTCCAAGTATGCGGCTTGAGAATATTCGAGGAATGATTGAAGAGCACGACAATGTCGTTGGCGGACTCCCATTGATAGTGCTAGGTTGACCAGCGTCCTCCGATAGGCCCCTGAATTGGCCATATCTGTCAGGTCTTTTGGATAAAGGCACTCTGGGTCTGTAAGGTCGAATAACTCTTCGTACAGAGCTGCTACCGCATCGAAGTACACCTCAAGCACCTCTTTTGTGTAATCAATACGCACTCGCCAGCTTTCAGGTGTAAGCCCTAACAAACCGTAAACTTTGTCGCGAAGATCATGGCACTTGTTTGAACAATGTAGGAAGATACAATCTTGCAGGGTACGCCTTTTTTGAACATGGTCACGTCCGCGGACGGTTGCCCAGGCGGCGAACAGGAAATCTTGAGATACATGTCTTATCACAGAGCGTGCACGATCCCAACTGAGCTCAACCCCTCCGCACACAAAAAGAGGCGGATTTGTGCTGAGCGTAATCTCCTGAATGATCCATATCCGTCTGAAATATGGGTGGAAGTACAGCGTGTTAATAGCCGCTTGAGTGTCACTAGCCAATGTGTCGTCACCTTCTTCCTCTCGCAGCCGAAATACAGCCCCGATCATCTTGGGGTCGCATCCTAACCATATGCGCACCATCTTTGCCTGCCTGTATATCTTTTCCATGATACGGACTTGGTTGCTGCGCTCAATTGGGTCTTCTTGATTGATGCATATCTGATCGATCCAATATAATACCGGCTTTCCACTGGCGTGCATGCCCCAATCCCATGGCCCCGTGGTATAGGTATTTAGGAAGTCGAACAGATTTTGACGCACTTCGATATTCGCTCCTTCGACGGCTATACTATGAGTTGGCGTCGGTTCGCCCCAGGTGTACGAAAGAGCAGTGTAATCATGCCAGCTGGTGAGATCATACGTCCGTAGGCTGCATTGCGGCTGATGCGTGACAGGGTCTTTGCTGATTCGGAGTAGCCGGAACTCTGAATTTGGCTTTTGGAGAGGTTGGTAAATGTATTTAGGCATTCTTACGGTGGTATAGAAGTTGAGGGAGTCGAAGTCTGAAGAGATGGGGCAACGCGGGGTAGTGGCTTTTCACCAGGCTGCCACTCCAGCTGCCTTGCGATATTTAGCGCGGACATGAAGGGCTGTGTAGGTGTCAGGCTGGGTTATGCCATGTCTTATCTACCAAGTAAGACGTGTCAATCTCTGCTTACAGCGTGGCGCATTCTTTGCTGCGTCGGCGTACTGAGAGGAAGCCGCTTTCACCAGAGATCGTAATTCGATTCATTCTTCCCACTTTTAATCTACAACATCCGCAGCGCATCTGTAACACAATGAAACGCGCCACCTTTTATCTTTCCTGAAGCCCAAGAACATTTACTGCCCACCACCCAACGTAGCCATCAAACTTTGCCCAAACGCCTCCTGATCCACAGCCCTCCCAATCAACACCAACTTGGACTCCTGGACCCCATCATCAGGCTTGGCGTCAAACTCATTCGTATCGTAAATCGCCCTCACACCCTGTGTGAGAAGTATCTTACCATCATTGACTGGAACGCGTCCCTTCAAGCGATGGATCTCAAAAGGCTTGTGTGCGGTTTCATTCGGTAGCGTCTCCTCCCACAAAATAGTGCGGAGGAAGAGGTCGAACTCGTCAACTTGATCGCGTGTCAAAGCGGGGAAGGAGATGGTTGAAGTGGTGATTGTGGGGTCGAGGTGGCTATGTCCCTTGCTTGCGAATTGCAGATCTGTGTCTGTGACTTCGTCATAGGCATGTAGATCCAATACCAGTCCTTCAAGTTGCGGAACCTGGCTTTTCGTCGTCGTCTTGATGCGCGCGAGGCCGTTGATAGAGCGGATTCGCTCGGTGACCTGTTCGAGTTCTTGCGCCGAGACCAGGTCAGTTTTGTTGATGATGATGACGTCTGCGTGGCTGATTTGCAAGTGCGCTGTTGTGAGGACGGGACCGTGTTCGTCGTGGGATTCTTTCTTTCTTTCTTCGATGTTTTCTTCGTCGCCGAGGCCTTCGTCTAGGCTCTTTAGCACGTTCTTTGCGTCGACGAGTGTGACGATGCCATCGAGGAAGATGCTACTGCCTAGGCCGTCGTCGAGCCAGAACATGGGGGCGATGTTTCCGGGGTCGGCTAGACCGGTTGTTTCGAGCAGGATGTAGTCGAATAAGCCGGATTGCTCCATTAGGTTCTCAATGGCGGCCACGCCGATGTCTTTTACCGAACAGCATATGCAGCCGTTTGCGAGTGGGACAAAAGGTGCGGGTTGGGCGGATGTGGAGTCTGCATCGGAGACTGTGAGTTGTTTTTCGATGTCAATTGCTAAGCCATCTGTCAGAGTGATGTCTTATTCTTAGTGGAAAGTGAGCATACAATCACCGAACTCATTCAGAATGACGGCAATCTTCTTTCCATGTTGTTCAGTCAAAATGTAGTTGAGCAAAGTCGTCTTTCCCGCACCAAGATAACCTGTCACTATGGTGATGGGCACTTTGCCCTGGGGTGCCTCCTCCGAGGTCGCCACAAGATTGGGTATTTCCTCATCTTGGTCGTCGAGAACTTTGGTGTTAGTCTCTGACTGGACTAGAGTGGGTACTTCATCGTCTGATACGTTTCCGTCCATGGCCGGCAAGCTGTTACTAGATAGTGATTCGAATGTCGAGGAGGGGTGCCAGAGCGTCAAGATACAGTTCTAGAATAAGTTAGAACAGATGATCTGGAGGTAGGTGCGTAAGAACATGCAACCCTACAGCGACTTACCTAATCGCAGCTACTTCGGGATTTTGGAGGCCAAGAGAGACGGCAATGACGTCGTGGGGTGGCAGAGTCATGTAGAAAAATGGTCCACCGCGACGCGCGATGAAGCTAGCGCCGTCGCGTATTTCCTAGTTGACAAGACCCCTGCCCATGCCCTGCATCCGCAAGCTCCAGGTATCAACAACACACGCCGCCCCGCCTACCTGTCGTCAGACGTCTACTGTGATCGCAATTCACTCACTACCACCCATCATTCCGCAAATATGACGTCGCCCGCTTCGCCGCGCCTTCCTAGCCCGCCTCCTATCCCAGAAGACCAGCTCTCGCCAGTATCCGCATCGCCAGAGCAGCAGAAGCTCTTCAGCAATCTCGACCATGCCGCTGAACGGAGAATACGACCGGGGACCAAGGCAGAGGACATGGCAGAGGGGCCGCCGCTGGTAGAGTTATCAGAGGTACGCCGAGGCATACTTCAACAAAGATAGCGCCTGGCTGACAAGATGCGCAGATTGATTCAGCATTCCAGCTCACCGAACACCTCAAAGCCCTCCACCACTCGCTCACGCATCCCGCCGGCTCGAATGGCACTATGCCAGTAGACAGAAACATGGCATTGAAGATAGCACAATCACCCGCCAATGTGGACAGGACGTTGTGGCTATACGAACTCTGCCGCTTCCTCATACAAAAGGTCAACTCCATCATCACCGCCCTCTTCGCAGACGACCCGCCGTGTTCGTCCCTGACGTGTCCCGAGATGCGCGCTTCCGAGTGGCAGTACCTCTGCGCAGTACACGACCCGCCAAAATCATGTTGTGCTATCGACTACTGCTGCCACACGCTCGACTGGGCGGCCAACACCCTCACATCACCCAAGCACTTTCCTTCACGGCTCGCGCTTGGCACCGACTCGTCAACACAGCATTCGCAAATGCGCCAATTGACCAATATCTTCAGGCGCGTATACAGAATCTTTGCGCACGCATGGTACTCGCACCGAGAGGTCTTTTGGAAGGTTGAGGGACGCACAGGGCTATACATATTCTATAAGACAGTCTGCGATGTATACGGTCTGGTACCGGAGGACAACTACACCATTCCTCCTGAGGCCGAGGGCATTGAGCCATCAACAGAGGTCAAGCCGTCAGCGCCACCTCTGATTATGAAGCGAGAGCCCTCTGATTCGACATCGGAGATTTCAAGTAACACACTGGCAGACGGATTGTCTGATCATTCGCTATCAACAGCTGGAACAACCAAGCGACATAGGCATTCGCCATCAGTTGGAGCCACGGCCGTTCAAACAGTTGTAGAGGAGAATGAGGAAGAGGAGGAGCGTCCAGTTCTTCAAGCGCGACCAGTCACTCAAATCTTCGAATCGGCACAGGAGGATGAGGAAGAGGAGGAAGCCGATAGCGACGGCGACGTCACGGCTATTGAAGATAACAACGAAGATGACGATGACGAAGACGATGACGATGACGAGGACGAGGCTGAAGCTGCTGAGGAGATAACACAAGCAGATGCCAAGGACCCCACGACTGAAGCAGCCAAGGAAGGCGCGGGCGAGGAACAGGCAGCGGGTACCTCGACCGATGAAGAAGAAAAGAAAGATACAGATGCCGCCACAGAGCCAGCAGCTACCGAGAACGCTGAGGCCAGTGCTTCGGACGCCCAAGACGACGAAAAGGAACCGTCCAAAGACGACACTGAAGCCAAAGATGATAGCAAGCTAGATGCTGCAGGGTCAGAGGAGGCGAAGAAGGTTGATTCTGCTGCAGAGTCGGCCGATGAAGAGGGTGGAGCGAAAGCTCAAGATTAGGTTATCACGGGCAAGGCTCAACGGGTAGTATTTCAGAAAGCTTCCGTGGTGTACATTAAGCGTAGGAATAGGACGGAATAATGACTTGGCAGGGCAGATCGGGATGCTATCGTTTGCATCAGCACACATAGATATCACGCACGGCATGATATGGCTTAAGGGAGCCGCATTACTAGATACTAGTAGCTGATGATAGTCGAGATCTCAGATGAGTGATAGCGGGGCTTCATCGAAGAGACGTGCATTAATGCCCTCGGGCTTTACCTCCAGCCTCAAGAACCAATCAGTACGCAGTGGCTCAGCTAGCGCATGTGTATAGCCTCCGCGGAGGATCCATCTCAGCTCACGAGACAAGTATAGACTGGGACCAGGGAAGGTCCTGCCCAGTTTGGCAACACACTGGCCTTGAAACATGAAGGAAGGGCAAAGCAAAGCAAAACTGCATATTCTCCGTGGCGGAAGAGAGGCGCTCGGTAAAGCACACCGTAGTGACAAGGATGGGAGAAATTGTCTCGTTGCGCTTGGTCCAGCGGTTGGGGGCGAATTTGGCATAGGCCCGGCTTGGTCGTTCCACGTTTCCATGTTGCACTGCGTGGACTGTCTCGTCACACGGTGTTAATGACAGATAGGGCTGATGAGGCTCAACTAGACAAATTCCGTCTTGACATTCCTCCGAATAAATCAATGCCTATATGCAGAATTAATCAAATGCGGATACCGATGCGACGACGCTCGCCGGGCTCCGAGTGCCGCAAGAAGAGGGTGACGTCCGGGCCGCGCATCATTGGCGGGAGTGGACCGTAGATGCGTCTGCGTGTTTTGTCGCGCTGCGCGGCAAGACGATCCTGGGGTAGGGCGTCCAGGCTGCAAGTATCAATTGGTGGCCGACGGGCCGAGTGGGCACTAGCATCTGGGTAAATGCTGGCGAATGAGCAGAGCGGTGCGAGTGGCGCACGTGTGATGAGGTGTGGAAATTAGTTGCGTGTTGGGCGGGTTGGGCTCAGATCGAGGTGTAGAGAGGTATAGAGGGGCGTAAATCAGGGTCTAGAGATGGGTGAAGCGATGCAGAGATATCAACAGTCTCAGAAGTGGGCAGGATGGCAGCGGGCCTGGAAGGAGGAGGAGTCTAATGCTTCCACGTGCAGCATCGCATGCTTGATGCAGCCTTGTGCATACGGCGGTGCACAGTCTGCGGTGCATGAACAGGCACGCGCTGCTATCGACCAGTAACTGGAATGGCGTTTACGAGAAGTGGTGACGGTGCCGTCGGAGAAGGTCGAGTAGATGCTGCGTTCGAGCGGCCCCCACGCCCGACTTGCCAGTCCCACGCCGGCTCGCTTCTCCACATTCTGGTGGTCCAGCAGGCTGCAGGTGTAGGTGCAGTATTGCAGCATCCAGACGGGCGTCTTGGAGTGCATACAGAAAGTTAATTGCTGACGGCGGAGGCTGGAGTCGTCGGAAGGCTGCGAGCTACCCCTCACTACTTCAGCCAGCTGGTGCTTAGACATTACCCACAGCCACGGGATCTTGAATTCTTATCGCGGCTACTGCGGACGGTCTGCGTGGTCACAGGTCCCCAGTCGTGCCAGAGCCAGAGCCAGTCCCAGTCCTAGTCGCCGTCCCAAGTCGGCATCGGCCCTCTCCATTCCATTCCCACAAGTCTACCCGCGCCCGTCCTGCTGCCTCCCACGACGAGCTGCCCTTCCCCACGTTCCCCGTCCAGGGTTCTCGCCACGACGACACCGCACCCAGAGGCTCTAACATCTATCTGCAGGTCATCGCCCAGGATCGCGGCGATTTCTACTCGCGCAGCCCACGCCGTCGCTTTTGGCCCGCCCCAGCATCTCGCCTGCCGTGTGATTCCCAAAGCAGCATGCACGCCCATGGCCGAGCGCCTCTTGACTAACATCAACACCATCTGGCAACCGCGCACACGAGTCGCTCCGCCACCGGGCTACACAACATCCACCCAAGCCCTACACACGCGCACTGTCCGCCAGCGTCGCGACACACGACATTGCACCTGACGACCCGCTGGCAATGACGGCGCAAATCTTGTCTATGCATGCTGCGCACGCGTCGGATTTGGGCAAGATCCAGACGCAGTTCCGAGACAAGATGGACTCCACGGTTGGCCCTGCAAACGAGCCTCCCACCCCCGCCTCCCCCGACAGCGCCGACACCCGTGGCCGCCGACGCGACCGCGACGAAGACGGATCCGGCGGCGAAGGCGAGGGTGACGGCCATGGCTCCTCGAGAAAGAGACGGCGCAGCAGAAAGGGCCTCGACAAGAAGTTTGAGTGCCCGCACGAGGGCTGTGGGAAGAGCTACTCCCGCGCAGAGCACCTCTACCGCCATCAGCTGAACCGTGAGTGCAGCAGCGCCCGCAGGCCTCACCCAGCTAACATGGACAGACAACCCCAAGCAAATTTACCACTGTGACTTTCCCGATTGCCACCGATCGTTCGTCCGGCAGGACCTCTGTGCGCGCCACAAGGAGAGACACACGGCGCGAGGCTCGCAGCTGCTGCGCAAGGACACGTTCAACATGCACAATCTGAACCCCATTGTGACGGCTGCACTGGGCGGAAAGAATGCACCGCCACAGAAGGCACTCGGCATGCAGTCTCCGCCGTCTGGAGCCTCCAACGCAGGCCCAGGCAGCAGAATGTCGCCGCCAAACTTCCAGTCGCCAGGCTCGACTGCCACGCTCAGCAGGCAGGACTCGCTGCAGAGGACAGTGAGCGACGATACGTACCGCAGTGGCTCAGAAGCTAAGCCCTACGACATGCAGTCCCAGAGCGCTGGAAACTTTGCACCCCCACCGCGTCCGGCCGCTTTGGGCAACTACAGTGGAGGTCGCAACTCTCTCCACAACTCCCCACATGTGGGTAATGGGAACTTCACCCGGCCCGATCTACGCGCGCAGACGTCCAATCTCAGCTCGTATGGCTCGAGCTCACCCTTCAACTCTGCCGTTACGCCATCCCAGTATACCCCCTCTGCGCCCTCGACCGGCTACCAAAATAGCGCAAGTGCGTATCAATCACAAAACAACTTTCCTCCCTTCTCCTCCTTACCTCCACCAGAGTACCCCCAGCCAACTGGCACCCCTGCTCCTCGAGAACAAGAGAACCAGTTCTACAATGGCACTTCTGGACAGACGCCCATGAACGGTGTTGAGTCTACAGGTCAAATAGACAACAGAATGCAGGGTGTCTCTGACGCAATCATGGAACAGAATCCCGCATATGCCATACCAATGTTTGGTGGCAATGGATACAGTCGGTCGCCCTTTGCCATGGCCGACGACTTCGCTGCCTGGCTCTTCAACGACAACCAATTCAACCCAGGAGGCGCATCGCCCATGGATTACCCGGGCGGAGTAAACCCCGTAGCTGGTGCGTCATCCCAAATTGGTCTTCAAGCTCCGTATTTTAACTATGACCCCTCAGTCGCCGGCTATCTGAACAACCCTGCACCGCCTGCACACCCAATGGCTGTTCATAGCATACTAGACACTACGCTGCCAGAGTCTGCCCTCTCAGAAGAGAAGCGGAAAGACCTTCTAGATCTCATTCATTTGCGCTTCAACGAAACAGATCATGCGCCAGTCAAGAAACAGAAGGAGGAACTCATGGAGGGTGACAAAGACGACAGCCGGCACGTACTCAGTCTGCACATGATGCAAACGTACATCAGCTCGTACTGGGTACATTTCCACCCGCAATTACCAATCCTCCACAAGCCGACGTTCAATGCAAGCACGTGTCCTGAGCTGCTGTTGCTCGCCATCATGTGTCTCGGAGCGTCTTGTTTGGAGAAGAACTACGGTCAAGAGACTACACAGGCTTGTGCTTCGCTGGCTAACTTCTTGGCGTGGCACCTGCGCTGGGAGCTGTTTATGGACGCTGATTTCCGTCCACCCGCTAAGCTATGGATCTTCCAAGGCCTGCTTCTCCTCGAGTCATTTGAGAAGATGTACTCTACGCGCCCGCTACATGAACGAGCGCACATTCATCATGCCACGACACTGACGCTTATGAGGCGTGGAAGCTCGCTGATCGGACGATCAGCAATGGACTCGCCTCCTAGTGTCAAAGACGGAAAGAGCAACGGAATAGGTGGAGCAAACACGCCTGACGAATGGTGGAACCACTGGATCACGAATGAGGCTACTAGGAGGGCAGCATTCGCAGCCTTCGTCATGGATAGCATCCACGCTACCATGTTCGGTCACAGTGCTGTCATGGTCGCTCACGAGATGCGTCTCCCACTGCCATGTGACGAAGCGCTCTGGTCTGCAACGAGTAGCTCTGAAGTGGGACGAGTTGAGCAATCCCTAACATCGAATGGCATCAAACCAATGTCTTTCCTTGACGGTCTTAAGAAGACGCTTAATGGGCAGACGGTACGGACCAATTCGTTTGGGCGCACAATCCTCATGGCTGGTTTACTGAGCGTATCATGGCACATGAACCAGCGAGACTTGCAAGTAAGCTCCCTGGGTGTGACAACAGCACTGGGCGGCCGCGACAAGTGGCGAGGCTCTCTAACCCGGGCCTTTGATTTCTGGAAGCAAGATTTCGACAGCTCACTAAACCGATCTGAAGACCGCCCTAGTTCGAGCTCATACGGATACTCGCAAGGTGTTGACGATGACAACGTGTTCGAGTCCCGAACTGTGCTCCACCACCTGGCACACATGGCCATGCACGTCGACATTGTCGATTGCCAAATCTACGCCGGCGCACCCCGCCTTCTCGGGCGGTCAATAACCCCGCAGGATTACAACGGCGCGCAACGTCGGATGAAGGAGATGTGGGCCCCCACTGCCCGAGCCCGGGACGCCACATTCTACGCCCTCCGCTTCCTCTCCAACGTAATGGTTGCCGGAGACCACAGTCTGAACCCCAACACGCCGTCCACCGCGGGCTTCTCCTATTCCGCGCGTGACGACTACCTCCTCAACCGACCGTGGGTACTATATTTCGCCACACTAATCGTGTGGTCGTATGGTTTCGCGCTCGATGGTCCGGTCAAGGAACCGTACCAACTCCCCACCTATGACGACAAGGTCAGGGATATGGTTCTCTACCTCAACCGTGTTGGCGGTGTGCGTTCACCGGAAGATCTGAGCAAGACTTCTAATCGCAACGCTTGTCTCGGTCTGCTCATCATCATGCGCGATATGTTCAAGAAGACGAGATGGGAGTTGTTGCACGAGGCGAGCAATCTGCTGACGAAGTGCATTGAGATGCTTCTCCCTGGTGCGGGTGGAGCGTTGTAAGCAGAGCAGCCCAACCACCCACCTCCTTGTCCCGATGAAAAATTTTGCCCAACGAGGCGGTGTTGTTGTTATTCTCATTTACGATGTAATGGCTTATTACTTGTTGTTTGTTGATGGGTTTTCCCTGGTCTGTCTTTTCTGATATCACTGCATTCTAGCGAGGAGTGTGCTTGTTGTTTCGATCTTTCTGTTCTTGTTCGATACCTCTTCTGTATATTCACACAAACAAGTGGCTACTTGGATGAAGTGGGTTTGGTGGATTGGATATGTGGGCGGGATGCTGATCTTCTTTGGCCATATACCCTGGGGATAGGTGTGGAAATGCATCTTGGACTCTTTTACATGTGCTGTTCAAATTTGAGGAGTAATTCTGTGATGTGGTGGGAAGTGTTTGCTGTGCGCTGTCCGGGTTAACTTGGTCTGGAGAGAAGCTGAGGCGCGCAGGATTATCGCGCACGTGAGACCGTGGTGACGCGTGACGCGAAGATCGCGTCTTTGTGAAAGCCGGCGCAACAATTGTCTGCATGGTCAAACACATATCTAAGAACGTGATTTTAGACTTACTAATTTACACCTCAAATGCTAGAGCGAAATTTCCCCTGATGCACGATCACTCTGGCCGTTGCGCCATTGCGTCATTGACTGTGAAACAATGCTCCCTACCACCGGCGCTGCGTCCAGAACAACGTCCCCACGATGCCTCGACTCAAGGCCGCCACCGTCTCGGACCAGACTGTACGAAAGCGAAAACGGAAAGCGCGCGATGACGATGAGGAAACGACTGCAGCGGCATCAGCTGCAGAAGGCGAAGGGGTGAAGGAGGTTCATAGGATTGTTGGGCCGGATGGTTCAACGATCGACCCCAACGCGCCCGACCCTGCCACGACCACTACGAGCATTCCCACGAAGACACACGATGGAGGAAAGAAGCCGCGGCGAGCGCCAAAGAAAAATGGTACTGGCAAGCCAGCTCTCGCGCGCAACAACTCGTCCACCCTAGTCGAGACGTCGATACCATGGCCAGAGCACTTCACGAAGCTCGCCCAAGTCCACCGCGCCGTAAACCTCGTCTACACCTTCCTCTGCACGCGCAAGCACCTCGCGACGACCCTCGAAAATCTGCGCAGCACAGTCGAAGCCAACATCCAACGAGAGCTAGTCATCGAAGACGTAGCGCAGATCACGGCGCTGATACCCAAAGCCATCAACTTCGCCTACGTCGACGAGGCAATGCTACAAATCAACTTGATGGGTTCAGAAGATAATCTGCACGGCAGACGGGCAACCGACTTTGCGATCTTAGAACCCGAACCGGATAAAGGCGAGCATAAAGAGGTGCTACTGTTTGAATTTATCGATGGCGATTTGAAGCGCCAGGTGCAACATAAGAAGACGGGTGAGCCGACAAAGGCTACGACGAAGTTACGGAATGAGGATCTCAAGATGCCGGTGTACAGTCAGAAGCAGATGATGAATCTGATTGAGAAGAGGAATGTCAAGTTTACGTCGGCGGTGAATGCGTTTTTGAATCAGTGTGCTGAGGAGGGGGTGGATTCGGTGGAGAAGATTTTGGAGGTTTCGAAGGCCTTCGTTCCTGTGGAGACTGCGAGTCGGCATTCTACCCCTGGCCCGGACAGAGCGCTCATACCAGCTTCCATACCCGCGGAGCGGAAGCCTATCCCTGATATATTGAACGAGATCAAGACGATGGAGTGGTATACCGGGCAGATCGTGCCAGACGGCCACCGTGTTTTCGACCCACAAGAAGCTGTCTTCGGCGACTTGAACTTCGCCATGTCGCAGAATCTCGTCAATGCGCTGTATAACACGAGGAACATTACTCAGCTTTACGCTCACCAAGCTGAGGCTATCAACAATCTTTACGACGGACACAATGTGATTGTGTCTACTTCGACGAGCTCGGGTAAATCGTTGATCTACCAGATACCCGTTTTGCATCAATTGGAACAGGAGCCTAATACGAGGGCTATGTATATCTTTCCGACGAAAGCGCTAGCCCAGGATCAGAGAAAGAGCATGAAAGAGCTGTTAAGATTTATGCCGGGGTTCGAGGAAGTGTTGGTTGAGACATTCGATGGCGATACGCCGATGAGTGATCGTAATTACATCAGGGATGAGGCACGCATCATCTTCACCAACCCGGATATGCTGCACATTACTATCCTGCCACAAGAAGATGCTTGGCGAACGTATCTTCAGAACTTACGATTCGTGGTCGTGGATGAACTGCACGTTTACAACGGACTGTTTGGAGCACACATGGCTTTCATCATGCGCCGTCTACGCAGGATATGTGCGGCGTTGGGAAACCGGCATGTCAAGTTCATATCCTGCTCGGCTACAGTGGCAAATCCTGAAGAGCACATGAAGACTATCTTTGGTGTTGACGAAGTCAAGTTGACTGACTTTGACGGGTCGCCTTCTGGACGCAAAGAGTTCTTGTGTTGGAACACGCCGTTCAAGGATCCTGGTGATCCTACATCTGGACGCGGTGATTGTATGGCGGAGACGGCGAAGCTGTTCTGTCAACTCATGTTGAGGGGCGTGAGAGCTATCGCCTTTTGTCGCGTGCGAAAGCAGTGTGAAGCGCTGCTTGCTGCTATCAAGACCGAACTTACCAATCTGGAGAGGCCGGAAGTGATAGCTAGAGTTATGTCATATCGAGGCGGATATACACCGCAAGACAGACGGGAGATCGAGCGAGAGATGTTCGACGGTAAGCTCTGTGGTATCGTGGCTACTAGTGCGCTGGAACTCGGTGTCGATATCGGCTCCCTAGATGCTGTCGTTACAGTCGGCTTTCCTTATACTATCGCCAATCTGCGTCAGCAAAGTGGTCGTGCTGGACGGAGAAACAAAGACTCGCTATCCGTTCTAGTTGGCGACTGCTTTCCTACCGATCAGTACTACATGTCGAACCCGGACGAGATCTTCACAAAACCCAATTGCGCACTCCAAGTCGATCTAGAAAACATGCTCGTCTTGGAAGGCCACGTACAATGCGCCGCCCACGAGATGCCAATCAACGTCGAAGTAGATACCTCCTACTTCGGCCCTCTCCTCCCCAAAATCGCCCGCGAGCGCATGCGCTGCGACAAAGAAGGTTTCTACCACGTCAACACGCGCTTCCTCCCGCAACCCTCGCGCACCGTAGCCATCCGCGACACAGAAGAAGACCACTTCGCCATAATCGACGTAACCCACGGCAAGAACACCGTGCTCGAAGAACTCGAAGCCTCGCGCGCCTTCTTCACCCTCTACGACGGCGGCATCTTCCTGCACCAAGGAAACACCTACCTCGTCAAAGAATTCAGCCAAGAACGCATGTTAGCAAAAGTCGAATACGTAAAAGTAGACTGGACAACCCAACAACGCGATTACACGGACATTGACCCCGTGGAAACAGAAGCGATCCGGCGTATCCCCGGTTCCAGGTCGAAAGCTTTCTACGGACCTATCAAGATCCAACAAGTCGTGTATGGATTCTTTAAAATCGATAAGAAAAGGCGGATTTTGGATGCTGTGCAGGTTGATAATCCGCCTATTATACTGTTTAGCAAGGGCATGTGGCTTGACGTGCCCAAATCCGCGCTTGATATCTTGAGGTCAAGGAGATTGAACATCGCAGCGGGTATCCACGCCGCCGAACACGCCGTCCTATCTCTCATGCCCAACTTCGTTATCAGTATGCCCGGCGACGTCCGCACGGAATGCAAAGTCCCCGAAAAAGAATTCCTGGCGAAGGAATCCTCCCGCAAAAGACCGGCGCGACTTACCTTTTACGACGCAAAAGGCGGCGCTAGCGGCTCGGGGATTAGTACCAAGGCATTCGAGTTTATCGATACGCTGCTTGAGCAGGCGTGTCAAAGGCTTACGAGTTGTCATTGTCTAGAGGGGTGTAATGAGTGTTGCAATGATGACGCGTGTAAACAGCATAATCAGGTCATGTCGAAAGCGGGTGCTATGGTTATTATCATGTGTTTGCTCGGCCGGGAGAGTAAGATCGATGTTGAGAGTCTGCCGTGGGGTGAGGAGGATGTGGAAGCGGGTTTCGATACGGTGGTTGAGGCTGTGGGGGTGAGGATGGCGGAGGGGAGGACGAGGGATGGGGGGAAGTTGCCTGGAGAAGGGGATGGGGGGATGGTGGATGGGAAGGGGGAGGAGATGGTTAGGGCGAAACTTGTGGATGGGGTTTGGATTAAAGAGGAAGAGGAGGAGGAGGATCATTTTAGTAGGAGTATTCATATGTATAGGGGGGAGAGGACGTTTATTGGGGTGCATAGGAATGGGAAGTAGGGGGATGGATGGATGGGGTGTTATTGGGATAAGTAGGATGGTTTGTGTGAGCAGATCAGGAAGCGGAGTGGTTTTGACATGGTGAGATTGAGATGGGAGGGACTGTCCAATATCTGTACCGTGGTGTTGGTATATTGACAAGGCTCAATTGCAGAAGTACTCGAGCACCTCATTCAAGAAAGACGCTGGCTACTCAGGGGCCTACATCAATATAGTTATATACAATGTAGATAATCTAGAGTCAACGTAGGCTTTAGGGTGTTTAGTCTCGTTGCTCAACGCGGTGGCCGCGATGTCGTTGTAGGAAGAGCCGCACGATACCACTGCTGTAGTGTGACATGTTGAGGAGGCCAATTTGCAGCAGTACTCTCGAACCAAGAATCAGAATTCAGCAACCGCTGTGCGTTTAGCAAGTCTCTATCGCGAGGCTCTCGACAATCTTGATTTCGGCAAAGTATAGATGCTTTGCCATCGCTGGCCAAAATTTTACGAGAACGCTAAATTTATGCGCCCGGAAAGCATCCTAGGCTTATCACGTTGTAGACGTATTTGATAGATCGAGATGCCAAATCGATTTCGCCATTGTCATGATATATAGTAGTAGTCGCATCGACGAAGTTAACGTCGTTCAAATTAGTGCGCCGTCTTCACACAGGCAACAGCCGGGATGCTTCCTTGCAAAA